TATATATATATACCACCCTGCTGTGCATTCAGATTCACTCCTGGCATTTCCGCAGTTTAGCTTCTGGCCTCTGATACTTACTGGTCTCGTAGCTGGGAACAACCCCAGCTATGTGTGCTGCACAAGGACTGAGGGTCAGAGAGAATATTCAATTAGGATGTTACTTTGATTTATGTGGAGCCAAACTTTCTAATGGGCATGAGTGTTTTTCAAGTGATATAGCACAACAGAAAACCTATTAGCTGATTTTCAGCTCACATTTATCTTGACAATAGTTCTAACTAAAAGTACAGTAGGAGACTTGGGAATAGCATTTGTCATCTTGTGTGGTAGACAGTACTAGTGTAGTTCTTATTTCTGGAATTATTGTATTGTTACATCAAATAATTTAAACTCCCTTGCTTTCACTTTTGAGCAGAAGTAGGAAGTGTTTAGTGGTTTTATGGGATTAAAGAATTTTTACCCCCCGCACAAGGTTTATTGGGATTTAAATCTCATTAAACTGTTGCCTCTCGCCTGTGATCCCAATATCAGATTCAAGTGTTACCAGTAGAACTGAACTGGTGAGCCTGAGGCCTCCCTTTTCTGAAAACCTAGCTTGCAAGTTTTAATTACAATTATATGTGAGTCAGAAAACATGTATTCTATAACTTGTATACTTTTTACTCAGAAATATGTGAACACTGAATGAATTTTATTAGCATTTATACATCTTTTTATTCCAGATGTTAGTCCTGACCCTCTAGTAGCTATATACATTTCATGCATATATTCATTTTGGCATATATTAATATTTTAGAGACTCTGAAGCTTTAGTGAAGTGGTTTTAAGAGTAATTCTGTTTACTCTACTGAAGCATCCACAACCAATTAGCAATAGATTTCATATGTAGTAGTTATTTTACCAGACTCGATGTACAGAATTAATATTTGGGTTCTAGCTTTGATTTTCTAACAACTAAGCTTTTTAATGTCATATATTTGCAACAATGATAAAAACAGTTAAGTTTCAGTACTGCTCTTTTCTCAAACATGCTTCTAGCGTTTTAAAGATGAGTTTCATACATACACCACTTCGTGTTTGGTAGGTATTTAAAGCAGGACAACTTTTAGAAGTGGTTACTAGTGATGTAATATGCTGGTCATTTGGTAGGCGTTAGTGTTCAGAAACATGGAATTAGGGTTAATTAAAGTTTTAATGATCTCAGTGAAAAAATACATTCATAAAACCGATCCCATATGTATGTGGAGTCCTCAAATGTAAAGACACTGTTGCTGATCTAGGCATATGGAACTTACGCAATATCATGAGTCCATCTGCTAAGCTGTTATTAATGTTATATCTACAGCAGTCAAGAATAGCCTCTGTGCTGCAAATTTTAGTACCAGGGGATACTATCATTATCAGCTTTTACAATAAAACTGACTACAAGGCATTTCTTTGCTCCACTGAACTTAGGTGAAGTGTTGAAATATGCATCAACGTGAACTGGTGACTTAATTTCAGTTGGGGCCTGAATGGGATACTTCCCGTTTGTCTTGTTAAATGATTTATTCTAAATAGTCACTTTATCTAAATATGCACAAACTCACAGACCTGTATTTGATGTTTTTTTTTAAATATATTTCTCCATTGCTTATGCTCCATGTTGTGTCCTGCACTTTATTTTAGCTCTGCATTTTGTAAAACAGTTTTTTCATTCATCCTACTAGATACCCAAAGCACATAGAAGCTCTTACTTAAGCCTAATCTGATGATCTCTGATGATTGCCTACAGAATTTGCTTGACAAATAGATTCCTGATCTTCCTCACTTGTTTTGTGGCACC